CCTATCATTACTAATGCATCAAAAAAACAAAACCCAGGATACACACAAACTTCATTTACATCTTGAAAAACCAAAAGAGCATGTTAGTATTAGCATTCTGAGGCTGATATATTTGATCACTTAGATTTAAAAATATCAAATTACTTATATGGTTTTATACAAAACTCTACATGATAAAAAAAATAAAAAATTGAAGTTGGGAAGATAGCTCAATTCTTAAAGCACTTGTGACAAGTACATGAAGACCTAAATTTAGATCCCCTGGAAAATAGCTACCCACTCACACATACACACAAAAGTCATCATCATCATCATCAACATCATCATCATCATCCTAGAAGCTGTGTAGGTGGAGACAGGAAGATCCCCAAAGATCACTGGCAGCCAATCTCTTCAAATAGGGCATCAGTCTAGTGACTCTCCCTCAAAAAGCGATGTGAAGGGTGACTGAGGATGTCAACGTCTTTATTTTCACACATATGTGTGTGCATCCACGATCCCATGCACTCATATATAAGAATATATATAATGCAGAAGCACATTTGTGTACATGAACATGTACACACGTACACCAAAAAGAGTAAGCAAAAATACAACAGTGTATGTATGAGTGATTATAAAGCGATACCATTGTCTTCAAACATACCAAGCTTTATGCACTTAAATAAATGGTGATCTTCTCAAATACATGATTTTCAGAGAATGAACATCACCTTCATATTTTGTTATTCTTCTGATTAGAATCAATGACATTAGGTCTTCATACTTTAATGCTACTCTAAGTTTGGAAATAATTCAAAGTTGTCTAATTGCTACTCTGGGTCAAAATTCTTTTGCTGATCAAAGTGGAACTAAAACATCAAGCATTCTTACATAGGGATGATAATAGTGAGATAGTGTGAACGGAGTGCCGTGGAGCATCAAGAGGTACACGGTATTTGGCACAGCTATTCAGTCTTTTCATTTCCCATCTGACAGTGAGGGAAGCGGGTGTTCATAGATGTCCCTTAAGTTGCCTAGAGCCCCAAGAAGCACACTAAAAAAAAAAAAAAGATCCAGACTCAGAAACCTCCCTTTGTCAAATACTGGATTAGTTTTCACTAAAGGATTCTAGGATAAGTTTTTTGTTTATAAATCTTTCACAATTTTCATTTCTATGTGTCATGTTGATCACCGCCCACATCAGCATGTAATGTATATTTAGCTGCCTTATTTTTAATAGAAAACAATCTGTTTAAGAAAAACTACTAGGGCTCGTTTGAGTAACTGGAGGTAAGACGCAGGACCCCAACGCGGACACCGAGAATGGCATCTTATGTAAAAAGGCATCCTTCCCCCTAAGGAGAACCCGAAGAAGCTGGAGGAGGAGGAAGTGGAAAAAGGAGGAGAGGCTCCTCCAGCAGTCAGTGGTAAAACAAAAGAAGACATGACTCTGGAAGAGCTGGAGGAGAAAGAGGATGAATTCAGTAGATGAACAAGCTATCGAGATGTCCTGGCAGCAAAGGTTGGCTGAGTGGAAAGTAACTCAGCTGAAGAACAAATTTGGGGAAGTTTTAGAGATCTCAGGAAAGAACTATGCTCAAGAAGTTACAAAGGCTGGAGAGGGCTGATGCGTGGTGTTACACCTGTACAAACAAGGGATTCCCCTCTATTCCTTGATGAACCATCACTTGAGTGGACTCGCCAGGAAGTTTCCCGATGTGAAATTTATCAAAGCAATTTCAACTCCTTGCATACCCATTTACCCCTACAGGAATCTCCCCATGGTGTTCATCTACCGGGAAGGGCACAGTTCATCGGTCCTCTGGTGTTTGGTGACATGAACTCGTCCATACATAAGTTGGCGTGGAAACTATCTCAGTCGAGAGTAATCAAGACAGAGCTGGAGGAGAACCCCAAGAAACCCATCAAGGACCTGCTGCTGTCCTCAGTGCCAAGCCCTGTCCCCATGAGAAGGGACAGTGATTCCAAGGGCGACTAAGATAGCAGTGATGTAACCTTTTGAGCTTTCTTGATATGACGCATTGTCTGGATTTTTAATAAAGAAGAAAAAGCAAAAATTTATCATTTTGGTTTTTAACCATTTTATAATTATTTAAATTTTATACATTTCAGATATAATCATTGCTGAAATCTTTTAAAACTTTGTTGGAACTCTTTAAATTAATAATTTTCTTTAAGAGAAATTTAAGTAGGCTATTAAGTCACATACCTATGTTTTCCTACATGTATTTCAGCAAACCATGAAACTGTTTACTATGCAACTATGTAGAAAGGACTGTGGAGTTTAAAAATATAATGTGAATAAATTAAGTTAAAAACTTTTTAAAAAAGAAAGAAAATTACTAAATTACAATCCTAAATATATTCTATTTTAATGTAATTTTTTAAAAATAAAAGTCTGAAGATAATTGATTAGTTTAGTTAAATATAAGGCACTTGATAGACTTCTTAAATTCCATATGAATTCTCTAAAGTTAATTGAAAAGTAAATATGCATCCATATAAACTTGCCACATGAGAACTTCTATATGTATAAGTTCTAGGATATTTACAAAAGCCTAACAAAACCTGATACAATACACTAAATTTTCTAACCTAGCACTCATTGGTTCCAATGTGGTAATTATAAAAAAATGGTGAAGTCTTTAAAGTGTGGTTTTTAATAGCCATGGGTAGAAATTAGGTAAAACAAAGGATCATATAAATATGTATGATTGAGCAGTCAGTTAAGAACACTAACCTAAGGTAAAGTTACTCAAGCACAAAGGGTAGTGACACACATGCCCTGGAAGTAACCAATCACCATCTGATGGCTCAATGTGATGGAACCCAGGGAAGAACCCCTCGCTAACCAAGAAGCTAACTTCAAATGTTGACCATTTGCAAATAAAAAAAAAAAAGTTTTCTCTAAGAGAGTCTCACTGGATATATAAACCATACTTAATGGTAGGTGAGCTCCACTCCGATCAGCAGATAGTTAATATAAAATGAACTCAATGGCCTTTTGTAGATTCTTTTCTTAAATTAATTTGTTTGGCATTTTTTTAATCTTACTAGTCTTTGGATTATTATACGTTATGGTTTTTCCAATTTGCGTTGCTATAGGTTCTAGTGTGTTTGCTTGTGTTTTTAGTGTGTATGTGTGTGTGTACACAATTCTTATGCTTTTTCCTCTTCTTATTTATTCTAGTTTATTTATGGTTTTTTGCCTGTTTTTGTAAAAGCAAAAGAAGATGTGGAATGGAATGAGTGGAGATGCGGGAAGGATTTGGGAGGAGTTCATGGAAGGAAAGCCATAATGAGAATATATTGTATGAGGAAAAATTAATTTCCATGAAAAAAAAACCCAGAAAGTTAATGTAGTTAAGGCTATCCCACAACCCTTAAAGCTCAATGAAATCACCAAAGCCTAATCATACCCAGTCTGGTGACTTGGGTTTATACAAGATTAAGAACACTCCACAAATCTCAATTGGTTTCTTATCACAATACCACTGAGAGCATGGAGGAACATGATTACAAAAGACAATGTCTTGGTACTTATTCATGTTCTTCTGAACAGTAAATTTTTTTAATATTTGCTATTCTTTAAGCACTCACCATAAATCACATAAATCACAAGTCAGTTGATTTCTAGTACTCTCTAAATAGAAAATATACATTTTTAACAACACTGAAGAAAATAACTCACCTCAGAAGCAATATTAACTAGTGTTTTTCCTCTTGGGAGAGACTTTTCTCCACATCTTAGCCCATTTATCCACACTCCTAAATACTACTTCACATGTCATTGCAGACAATTAAGATTCTATAAGTATTCAGAACATACATCTGTGTACCCATTTCTTTGAAACAAGAAAATTACTCAGTTGTAATTCATGAGTCTCAATGAGTTGTAATTACAGTCCTAAACCTCTTGAACCCAAGTGCTTCCATGACATATATGAGATAAAATATTCAGTCCAGCTAGTCAAAATCTTTTTAATGCTCTCACAAAAAGGAGAATGTATATCTAATTCTTCAGGTTTAATGTATATCTAAATACATCTGCTTTATATTTCAAGATAGAAAATGGTGACTGAAGACAGCTGCAACAATGGCCCAAAAAAATCAAGGAGAGAGGGAAAAAATACTTCAATACATTCTAAATAAACTGTTTCCCTACTTAGGAAAATAACCATAAGTTCTCACCCCCATTATTGGGGTGACATTCTGGTTGACATTCTTTTTAACCAAGAATTATATGGTTTGTCGCTGTTCAAAGATTTACGAAGAGTACTAAATCTATGCTGAAAAAGTGTGGATGATTCAGAGCATCCTCCAGGACTACTTCTCTTCCCTGGGCTTTATCATTACACATATATCAGTTCGCATTGTATACTCTTTATACAAAATGTATCAGAAATGGACACATTTTTGTACATACTTTAAAGTCTTCCCTTAATATCTATGGATAATTGCTTCAATGATTGTAGTAGATATAAGGTTCACAAATTCCAGGGTCTCTCATATAAAATAGTACAGAATTTTAATATGACCCATGTACAACCTCCCATTTACATTAACACATTTACAGATTATGCATAATACCTCATAGAACACAAATACTATGGTGATAGTAATTTTACAGTATTGTTCAGGGAATGAAAATAAGAAAATGTTTGCCTGTATTTATTCAGAACACAGCGTTTTTTCAGATACCTTAATACATGTTTAGATAACACACTGATGTCATAGAAATATTACTGGATATTAATAAAGTCCACTTTCACTCTACTGAATAAAAATTTCTTTTAACCGCAAAAGCAGAGAACCAAACCGAATTATTATGTTATTTTTTATATATTTAGAAGTTTGCAAATCAGCCTGCCTTCAGTATAGAAGAAAAAGAAATCATACAAATGTGAACACACACATAGAAACACAATGCTTCAAAACAAAGACATAGTAAGCTCGACACATTCTTGAAAAAATCAGACATGTTATTGGAAACTTACCACCACACTGTAGCTGCTGAATGGTTCTTTTCATCCCTTTAGCTGTGAGTGACCCCAGGATCTTCCTTTAATGTTCACTGATGGTGATGCTTATGTCTGGGATCCCCATTACCCCATTGCTTTTGTACTTGATGCCAAGGGAGTCTTCCTGTCCTACCCTCCCTGATGGTAGATGAGGGTGTGGAGCATGAGTAAGAGGCTGTTTCCACTACCACATGTATGTATGTATACCTCACAATGGGAGAGGGATTCCAGAATCTTGAGCAAGAAATTTGAATGTGTTTTCTCATGGAAATAAAAACCTAAGTAACTGAATCTCCTCAGATAATGAGTGACATAATTCAGTCAGGACACAGTATTTGGTAGGTAAGTTAGGATAAAAAACTTCAAATCACGTCAGTCTTATTATTCAAAGAAATTAATATCTACCTTTAAAATAACTACAAAAATATTTTTTGAAATACAACTTATTTAAGAAACATCTAAGAGGAAGAGAAGATGGGGAGAGGAAAGAGGGGAAGAATAAGGTATGGGAGGAGGTAGAGGAGATGTACAGAGGGTCAGCAGATTGAACAGAAGTATATATCAATGGGGAATGGGGAACTGGGGGTAGCAACCAGAAATTCCCAGATGCCAGGAAAGCAAGAGCCTCCCAGGAACCCTTGGGGATGACATTAGCTGAAATACCCGATAAAGGGGAGGAAGAACCTGTTGAGACCATATCCAGAGGTAAGGCATGGCAACCTGGTTGAGGGATGGGGCCACCCACCCATCTCTAGAATTTTAACACAGAATTGCTACTGTCTGAAGGAAATACGGGAACAAAGAGTGGAGCAGAGACTGAAGGAAAGGCCATCCAGAGACTGCCCACCTGGGGATCCATCCTACATGCAGAAACCAAACCCAGACACTACTGTGGATGCCAAAAAGTGCTTGCTGACAGGAACCTGATACTGCTGTCTCCTGAAAGGCTCTCCCAGATCCTGACCAATACAGATACAGATGTTTGCAGCCAACCATCAGACTGAGAACAGTGACCCCAATGGAGGAGTTAGGTGAAGGACTGAAGGAACTTAAGGGGCCTTATCTGGCATCAATGAGAGAGGAGACCCTTGGTCCTGTGAAGGCTTGATGCCCCAGTATAGAGGAATGCTAGGATGGTGAGGCAGGAGTGGGTGGGTGGGTGACCACCCTCATAGAAGCAGTATAAGGGGGAATGGGATAGGAGGTTTGCAGAGGGGAATTTGGGAAAGGAGATAACACTTGAAATATAAATAAATAAAATATTAAATTTTAAAAAAGAAATATCTATATAGTAAAAATGGATAAGAAAAAATTGCATACATAGCAAAATTGTATACATAGCAAAATCACTAAATGTTACATAACTTTAGTAAGTATACTTTCCAACTATTACATTGAAAAATAATCAAGTGGTAAACAGTGCAGTCAACAAGATATATGAAATTTTAAATCCCTAATCTGTATTTATAATTATTCCAGTTCAACTCGTTGTTTCAGTTTTTGTTTCTATTTGTCTTTGGTCCACAGACCTGATGATGTTGGACAGTTTTCCACTGTATTATAGTAATATAGTAACACATTGACTCTCTCTCATTATTCACATTAACTGACACTTGACTTTTTTCCTACCAGAACAAAATAGAATTTTTGGAGAAACTTGTCTTTGTGATTTCAAACTCCATCTTCTTATGCTCTCCAAGTCCCACTCTTAATAAGCTGTAAACCTGTCATTCCACCACAACTGACCTGTCAAGATTTTTTGCATCCAGATTGTTCAGTTCAATGGCCAGACTCTGATCTTGACTTACCAGCAACATTTGGTGTAATTGAGGTCATTTTCTTTCCTTTCCAGGACCCTTTTACATTCTTGGCTTGACTTCTCTAATTCTATCATGTCTACTTGATTCGTTAGATTCTCACTGCATTTATAATTTTACCTGATTCCATTACATACTTTTGCATGTTAAAGACATTATCCCATCATCTTGTAATGTCCAGTTTCTCTGACAGTAAATCAGTGACTTTCTTGATCATCTCTTCCCAATAGTTAGTAGTCATTTTTCTCTTGCTACTTTCAAGGTTCTCTCTTGCTGTGGTTCTTTGGAAGTCAGCTATGATTTTGTCACATGCAATGTGATTTATTATGTACATTGGTCTGCGTGTGCTTAGCCTTTTTAATCCAAAATGTTGAGTATTACACCAAACTGAAGAGATGTTCAGGCTGAAAATTATTTTAATTTTGAAGTTCACTGATTCTTTAATTTTTACACTGCTATTAATGCATCCATTGTTTTCTTCAATTCAAATGCTGCTGTTTGGTTATAGAATTTCCATCTGATTCTTTTCCATATTTTCTTGTTTTCTGTTTAAATCATCCATGTTAACAGCTATAAGCATATCTTTTATAGATTATAATTAATTATTTTTCACTCTTTTGACCTGAATCTCAAATCTGAGTTATCTTTAAATGGTTTTATTTTCTAGCTTGTCATTAAATTATTTATTAAAGTATTTCTGATTATATCCTGTATCAATGGAAACTTTCTATTTGAATCTTCAACTGTCAGTTTTTCATTTAGCTGATAGTTCAGTTAATTGGACTCAGACGCTAGGCAGTATTTCTTCAAAACTAAGTCAAATGTCAATGAAGCTCAGTCCCACATGTTCACTAATATAATGTCCATTAATATAAATAGACCAAATGTTAGCTACAAATTTGATAGCATCTGTATGCAAGAGGCTTCTTCTCTGCCCCTTTGTTTTCCAGTTCATTTTTTGTAATCTGTGAACATGCCTAACTCTGTCTTCTAACTCTTCAGGATAGAAACAATTAATTTTTTTCTGTTAAAGTTTTAGACACATGTCACTGAAACTCCTAAAGACAGTATATAAGTAAAAAATTCTTTAAAATGACCAATTGGGCCAATATGAGCTATTCCCTATATACACCAATTTTATTCCACAATCTGATTAATATATTAATCAGAATTAATTCCTTGGAGCTTTTGTATGGATCCTTTTGGTATTTTGTCTGGAACTTGTACATGTCACTTAAAAGATAATATTCTGTCACATGACTGCTCAAACATACTAAAGAAGATCCCGCCCTCAACTCAGACACGTGGCTTTGCATAATTGTGTTGAGGCCTGAACACCCTCCAACTGATATTCCCATTCAAGACCTATTAGACTCGTCCCACTACATGCTCAGCATTCCAGTTCAATTCAAACAGTAGGAGGAAGGGATCTACAATTAAATATGCCCAACTCATTGATTTCCTCATCCTTCTCAGAAGCCTTCCTTCTTCATCACCATGGGTGACAATTTCATTCTCCTCATCACTAAGGAAAGGACTTCAGTCCCCATGAGAAATATCTATAAGAGTCAACCTTTAGAATCCCAGAGCTGATCTTCTCAGTTTCTGGATATCCAAATGTCTATAAGGTTTTTATCAATCTATATTCTACCTGTTGTGAAAAATAGAAAAAAAATAAAACAAAAGTGGGGAGAAGAGGTAAAGCTGAGGCCCAACTCTTGGTGACCTCCTATGTTTAACCAACTCTCCTCTGTGCTCAGCTTTATCTTCCGGGGGTGGGGGTGGGGGAGGTATCTGAGTAGAAGCAGAGAGAGTTCAAAACCAGACAATAAGTATTCCCTGTAACACATCCGACCTGAAACATAAAGCTTTAAAATGTAAGATCAAAGACTTTGCTGCCTTTTGTTTTTCCCCTAACTCCTTGAACATTTTGTTGTCCTTATTATTCCTGATAGTTTTCAGTATGCAGTCATCAACTAACTTTTAGATGCCTAAAATGGAGAAGACATGGTGTTAGCCCCCAAAAAGAAAATCGACAAAGTTTAAATGTGAAGACATTAGTGTAGGGAAGTGAGAAGTAGCCAGAGATTTCAGTGGACTCTTCCAAATGATCACAAACTTTAACTCAAATCTGTTATTTGAACAGGTTATAACCGACAGTGTTTTTGCTTAAAAGGAAATCCTAAAACAGAATTTTTAAATTAGGATGTACAAATCCTTTTTTCTCAGAAGATACATCTCCACAGTAATATTAAAGTCGCCCAATGTTTTTAAGAAAGTAAAGAGTAAGCCATATGACCTACTGGCTCTGAACATCTGATGGAGGAAGAACAAACAAATCCAAGTGAGGTAAGAGTGTGCTCCCTGGTCCTCCCTGCTCCCGAGGATGGCTTAGAGACTCAGGAACACATTAAGAAGAAAGAGAAGGAATGATCACTCTTTGACATAAAGTGCTGGGAAACAACCAGCCTTAGCATCATGTAAAGCCAAAATCTAAATGAAGAAATTCTTAGCCTTAGTGAAGGTCGTATGTAAACATTCAGAGAATTCCACTTCACTTTTAAAGGGAAACTTGGGAAATTAAACTTCCACACGTGATTAACTTTGAGCTTTTCAAAGGAAGGTAACTGCCTACATCCAACGTAATATTATTTAAAACTTAGTTTCTTTTATAATTAATGAAGCAATTGAAAGTGATTTCCTTTTTATTGCAGGGAATTAAATTAAAAAAATAAGTCCTCAGGATATTTGGATAGACTTTCCATTTGCCAAGCCCGGTGTCCCAGTCCCAAGACTGTGCGTCAACTGGAATTGCATTTCCTCAGAAAGCCTTTGAATATACTCTGAGTGAGAAGGTTCAGTCACCTTCACCTCTATCATTCATCATCTCCGTGGGCTACATCATTTGAAGTTAACTTGTTTGTGTATTTACTTGCTATTGCTTACATTCTGTATCAGACTATAAACTATGAAGCGTGCAATGGCTCTGATGTAGCCTCTCAAAATATAGAACCTGAGAGGGTTCGTTCACAACCCTTCTGGAATACCACAGCCATGAATGCTCAAGTCCCGTGTGTGAAAAATATACTATTTACACATCATCCCTGCACATCCTGCAGTATACTCTGAACACAACAGGGCTTACTGGTCACAACTTGTTCTAGTTTCACCTGTAACTGGAGTGTCAGCTCCACTGTTGCTTTAATCACTGTATGGCAGAATTCTGGTAAATGCCGAACAGCACAGTCAGTGTACAGCAGGACCATACACTTAGAGGATGTTTACTGATGTAAAGGGTTTGCAGCCTTCGACCTACAAGCAATACTAAAATATCCAGCACT